CTCTCAAACTTTAAAAATTACTTTCAACAGCCAAACATGATACTGAACTTCTTATAAAAAGAAACATTATACATAAAAACTATTCTCCCATCCCTAAATAACACACAGTCTTCACTGGATTTAAACCTATTTTAACTTATTTTGTCTTGTGTCTCAGTTTTAATTTTCTTGTGTTATATATTAGTATATTAAACTTGTTTATTTTTAATGTATATATTTATGTTGTAATTACAAATACTGTTTGTTTATTTGTTTTTTACCACTATAATACTTCTAATAAATGCTTCCTGTTATTACATTCATGTTTTGTTTTATCATTAAGCTACATTTTCCAAAAAATGAGTCAATTACTGGTGTACAGCATTTGGTATTAAATGCAGCAGACAGCCGAGGCATTGTTTGCTAGCACTTGTTGTAGTTTCTTGCCTAGATACATATTACTTAGAAAGACAGTTAAATTGTATTTAGGTTTTATTTTTATATTTTAGTTAATTATATATATTATTTGTTTTAAAATTCATATTTCAAAGGTTTAATCATTTTTTTAATATAACCCAAACCTCGTCTTGCTCCATGAGGCGTACATTATTAAGTGAGAGTGAAAACATTTTTCCAGAGGCTAAAGTATTTCTGTTGATGATACCATTATATCACCCGTGGGCACCCATTTACATGTGTTGAGATGAATAATTAATGGTAAGCGGGGGCGGATTGAGCCGCTGGGACACCCGGGCAAGATCTCGGTGACCCTTGAGCCAGTGGGGTGATAACCTGGTTATACTGTCTCAGTGCTACTGACTAACCTACTGTACATCTCTATTTATATATATATATGTCTTCTTGGTTTTTGTACTTGCCCTGGCTGTTTTATGCTCCCAATCTGCCCCTGATGGTAAAGGACAGGAAAGAAAATAAAACATTAAAATAAACTCTAAATGAAAAGGTAAAGGTGTTAACTTATGCATATCACCCGAAGAAGATATTTTAACATTATGTAATATTTCCATTTCTTAATTTTAAAATTTCATTGCACTGTACGTTGATGATAATAGCTACATTTAGTGATGTGAAGAAAAATACTTTTATCATTAACGTGAAAATCAACTTACGCTTGAACTATTCAGAGTCTAAGTGCAAATAACTACAATAAGTAACAAATATTTACTAGAAATAGTAGCAAAAGTCAAAATTAAATATTTCGTTTTTCTGAAACTACATACCTTTAGGAATGTTCCCCTCAAATTGCAAACACTTTTATCCTCTAGTTTTATTTCTGGAAGTAAATGTTAAGAAAGTTATGTTATGTCCTTGCAATGTAAGAACCTGGTAACCAAAGTAATGAGAGATAATACAGTGGGTTATCCAGCTTTAATTGAATAATTCATGTGACAAAAAACAAGACTATGAGTGAAGTAATTAGCCCCAGTTTGAGGTAGAGAAGTTCTTATAAAAATGTGTTTAATAAAATAAATATCATAGC